AACGAACAGGAATAAAGTCAAGTGCTCTTAGAAATAAAAAGAATATTCTGAAACTAATAAAAATATCAATTGTTTCTTCTCTCTTGATATTTTTTTATATCCGATATTTAGATATATATTTTTCTTTTTATTTCTTTTCTCTTTCTTTCTACTCTCTTTCTTTCTTACTCGTGTATATTCCATGCGATGCACGGAGGAGCTCATATTTTAAACCTTTTTTAGATTTTATTTTAAATATAATTTTTTTGATTTTTCACATCTCATCTGATTATGAAAATAAATTAAATACAAACAATTATATACTTATATTATCAAGCACTTCTCTTTATACAATATTTTTTATTTAATGAATATTATTATACTTTACGGTTTCGATATTTTGTAAATCAGTTATTCAGTATATAATTGTTAATGTACAAAACATAATAAAAAGAATCCAGACTTTAAAGTTAAGCTATTTTTTATTTTTTTACAAATCAAAATCATCCAAATTTTTTTAATTGCAAAAATATTTGGCAAGTTTGTTAATGAGATAAATCAAGTTATACAAATGATTTTTTAGTTAAAATATTATATTAATTAAATTTTAAGATATTTAATTATATTAATGTGGATAAAAACTATTATACTAATTAGTATGTTAGGAATATGACTATATGGATGTTAAGATAAAAATGAAATGTAACAAAAAATTTTTTTTCGTGATTTGTTCCTTTAAATGTTTGGATTTAGAAGTCTAATTACCAAATTTTGATTATATTACATAAGAAAAAAATAAACAATAATGTTTATGGGTATATTTAAAAATTTAATTTTGAATTTCAAATAGAGTAAAAAGCGAAATAATTCAAATTTGCTTTCAAAAAGTTTTGAAAGTGTTTAATATTCTAGTAAGTATACCCGTAAGAATAATCTTACTATTTTAATTTCAAAAATTTTGGCAAGTTTGTTAATGAGATAAATTCGGTTAGACAAAAGATTAATTAGTTAAATGTTATATTAATTATACTTTGAAAATTTCGGTTAGATAAATGTAATTATATTAATTAGTTTGTTAAAAATGTGATTATATAGAAGTTAAGATAATAAACATTTATTAAAGAGAAAATTCAATAATATTTATCACTCAGATAATAAATAATAAAAATTTACACGTAAAAAAAAATATTATATTTAAAAAGAATTAACTTAGAATTTCAAGTAAAGTAAAAGGAGGGATATCTCTTTTTTTTTTTAAAAGTTTATAAATGTTTAATATATTAGTAAGTATCTCCGTAAGAATAATCATATCATTTTAATTTAAAAATTGACAAGTTTGTTAAAAAGAAAAACTGGTTAGATAAATGATTAATTAGTTAAGATATTATACTAATTATATCATAGAAAATCAGTTAGATAATATAGATAAAAAAATATAATATTAATTAGTTTGTTTGGAATGTGATTATATGAAAATCAAGATAAAATAAAATTTACCAAAAAAATCTGCTTGCGATATTTTCCCTTAAATGTTTGATTTAAAAATCTAATAACCAAATTTAAATTATATCACGTAAAAAAAATAATAATAAACAGTTATTAAAGAAATAAATCAATAATACTTTTCACTTAAATAATAAATAATAACACTTACATGCAAAGAATCATCATTTGATTTCAATAAAAATGTGGGATCCCGTGCGATAAACTAATAACATTTACTTGATTTCATTTGATGTCATTTGACATAAAAATGTGGGTTCCCGTGCGATACTTGATTTCATTTTCAGTAACTAATTTTCTAAGTTAATGTGATTTCATATCCAAGAATCATCCAAGAATTTAAAGCATTGGAAAAAATTAAATGTTTAAGCCAATCATACCAAAATAACCAAGACCTAGGCAACCATACCAAAATAATAATAATAATAATAATAATAATAAATCTATTTTAACTTGCAAAGATCCGATTCCATATTAATTTGGAATTTCTATTAAACATAATCAAAATAAATTCAAATCTCGCCAATTTATTTCTAGATTTAGTAAACTTAAATTTTTTTTTTGCGGGATTTCAGCTGCTATTTCAAGTAAATGCCGAACTTATATATATATATATATATA